GTGTCCGGTTTCTCGGCCTCAGAAATTCGCCGCAACAGATATTCCGTTCGCGTTTCGAGCAACGAAACGGCCGTGGACGAATGTACTCGTCTCAATTTAAGGGCAATTGTGTCTAACAGTCCGCCGTTCTCGATCGACCGTGGGCGTTCGCTTCGTTGGCGACGAACGCACGCACGCATGCACGCACTCACTCACGCACGCACTCACTCACGCATTCGCTCACTCACGCATGCACTAACGAACGCACGAACGAAACCAACCCACGGGCAAACTATTTTATTCTATCTTGTATCGTTAAACGCGTTGCTTCCCTTTCCGGCATTGGTTTACCCTACGCCGTTGACGCGTTCGCTGATAGATCAACGACTGTAAATTTACGACGAGGTTAGAATTTGTAACGCTTTCCTTGAAATTTTGTTTGATGTTGAGTTTGAAATTTGATTAAATGATGGAAGATACAAAAATGACATTTTGTAAAGTTGGAAGTACTTTTTCACGTGGAACAATGGCATATAAAGTCAATATTGGATGAAGTGCCAGTAGGTTTCGATTTTATCCCATATATTTTCATAGATTATCTACCGCAAATCGAATTTTCGGTGTTCATATTCGGAATAGGTATTGTGAACTATAATCGTTCAATAAAAGTTTTCAAGTTGATGTAATTTTTTTGAAAACGAATCTTTGAGGAACATTTATATTCAATATAAATATCTTTTATTTGATTAGAAACACTGTGTTATTTTGCATTTATATTTAGATTATTCGTTTATTTGTAGATTCAATCGGAATATATTTAAAAATCTATCATATGTGTTTTCCTGGTTTTAAACTATATGGATCTCGTTATTTTACATTAAATAAAATAAATTAAACATTTATTTACTTAATATTTTACCAGAAGTATTTATGTTTCACTTTTGATCGAAAGATGTTTCCCACGTGTGAGTAATATGACAGTCAAAGCGTTAACATATGTGCTACCACCATTTTGTTTAGAAAAATTTCATTACCGGCTATGCTATTATACACTTTTTGTTTATGTTCTTAATTAAAGACGTTGAAGTACCATGTACTATAAGGGAATGGTGGTAAACAGTATAAAAAAATATTATAGAAAATGTAGAATGGTATTTGTTTATCTTTTCTAGTATAAACTGTAAAATTGTAAGTGTCGTGCATATGTGACCACGGTTTCTCGTGAGAAATCAGAGCGTCATGTGTATGTGATGCTGGTAGCAATCGCGTTAACGGAGCGGAAACTGAATAGAGGGTGCCCAACGCAACTGGGACGCTTTGTATCTTCAAAACGATTGGAGATAGAACCAATTTTTTTATCAGACTAAATGGAATGTTGTCACACTGAAAATTCCTACCTCTCGTTCACTTTCATGGGTCGGTACAACAAAAGGTTACAATTGTATCCTTATGTTTTAAACGATATCTCGTTCATTTTAGTCTATTATTAGATGCAGCATTTTATTTTCCATGAAAGGACTGTATACTGTGCCTTGAAACTGTTCATTTGAACCAAATTATTTTTAATCTTATTGTCGTTAATTTAAATTCTATTTTTGTACAGGCTAGGCAACTGCGTTAAATAATGAATAAGAAAGTATAAAGTGTTGTCTATAGAAAAAAATACAGTTACTTTTGTTAGCAGTATAGATGTGCAAAAATGTATAATAAGTATTTACACGTAATGTCAGAAGCAAATAAAAGTTTTAAAAACGAAACAGCTGTTTAGTAACAAGGAACGTATAGTATTTAACACTGTACAGTTTTATATTCAATATTCTTTTACAGCTGGTTGTGTAAAAAGGTACGAGTCTCTGTTTGATAGGAGGTCTGGTTTATACCATAATTTATTCCTTTAATCTTTCGATAGCGGCAATCCTCTATAAACGTTGGAGCGATTTTGGTATTTCTCTCGCGAATTGATCATGAAAGGATCACAGAATTATTTTTGTTCGAGACTTCACAGTTCTTTGCGATTGGAAATTAAACAATCTTGTCATTATTTAAACTATTTTTATTTGGAAAACAATACAAACCTTATTATGCTATACGCTGTTGAATTTGCTACAAAACAATCACAAGTCTAATTAATTTATTTCTACATTAACTTTGTGAAATTGTCAACATCGTTGAGTTCATATCTTTACATTGATAAGTACGTTGTGCACGTTTAAAGTTCTCGGAAAATTCCAATGTTTTTATAAACTTTGCAGCTTAATAGAAATGTCACGCAAACATTTTATAATTATTCATTTTGTTCTTTGGGGTGAAAACGTCCTTTAAAGGTTAACGTGTGTTTTTTATTCTTTATTGTACCTGGAAACCTATTGTAGATGCAATAATATATTTACAGTGATAATTGAATAGCTTTTCAATCTGTGTTGAACGTTTTCAAATAAATGTAATGGGGACATTTTTGTATATAACCAAGAAGTTTTTTAAAATTCTGTTATCTTATCTTATCTTATTATTGTATCTTATTATGTATAAAACAATATTCAAGGAGTGTCCTCGCTTAAAAAATCAAAATACAGAATTACAAATTGTTTGGTACAACTAAAAAATCGTAATTTTATACGTTGTCGTCACTTCGTATGTAGATTTGCTAAAGTTGAATTGAAATTACCCAAGGCTCGCGTGTCTTCTTAATAATTAATGTGTAATCCTAATCGGAAGAATTGTTACTCATCTATCAATAATAGGGCAATCAAAGTAATAAAGCTGCATCGTTCGGTTACTCTCAATCGCGCAACAGCGTTTTGATATAGTCGATTCTCAACTCAGTAATCTTGGAATCTCGATTTCACGTTCGTAGAACACAATAGCGATCGCAATACGATGACTAAAGCAAGAAATACGTCTGGCAGATTCCAATAGTACGATGCTAATATTTTTTTGTTTCGCACTATTTAATCGTAATTGCGCAATCTCGTTAAAACGCGTTCACGTATAACAGATGTTGTAACGAGCTTATGAACGGTACAAAATTCCTGGACATCACAAATTTATTTGATTAGATTATTTTAAGGATTATTTAAGGATTACTTTATAAAATTGGAATTTATATAGGAATTTATATTCTTCGCGAATAATTTCATTGGGAGAATATTATAATATAATAATATTTGAATATCACCAACTTTAGTATTCTTTTTCATTTCTTAAGTACGGAAAACAAAAAGGAGCTGTAATCCTCTGCCTTATAACAGTATGTCAGGTTCGTAACGAATGTTTCAAAGTAAATTTAACAAACACAAATGTTACTCATCTCTCGTACGTTTAAATTAAAAATTATTTCATTATTTTAATTAGTTTTAATCTTCAAAACAAACGTAGATACAGAACAAGAAAGGAATTCTTCCCTTTTCCAGTAAATTAACGATAAAATAGCTCTATCAGCCATAGTTGTGAGAGAAATTGTAGGATAAGAGGTTGACGGTGTGCAATAAACCTTTTGTTTCACTTGTAATCCGATAAGGGTCGTAGAGAGAGAAATTTCTGTCGCGTTTATATTTCTATAATGATTTATAGTTTAGTAATAACGCGTTCCGCGAAGGGAAGAGCCGCGCATAAACACACACTTTGAGATCGTTTGGCCATTGGACTCTTCTCCGTAGCATAAATGGCCTATTAAGCCGGTACTCGAAGGCAATTTAAAAATAATTCTCTACATAGCCAACGCGCTGTGAAAACTGTGTCCGTTGCTCTTTGAGAACTTTACGCAACAACGTGCATCGTTATCTGAGGCCGATCGTAGCCGATAATCGCGAAGCGTAAGCTCGCGATACGGCAACTTACCGTTCCAGAGAGAGAGAAGTTGCATTCTATTAACAGAATCCTTTCTCAGGCTATAACGGGTGCAGGGAGCTCTCCGAGGAGATGCGCTTTTTATGTCACCGAGCATTCAATTTTCTCTCATAACTCGTTGTCTGATCGACCTTTGCACGCGTTGCTGCCCGCGAAAACTGTCCTAGGACAGTTGAAATCCCGTCGATGCATTTCAATGAAAATCTCGGACATCGTTGCCCTGGAAATCTCGAATTGCATTTTTCTCTCGATTGTTAAACGGTGAACCTCTTGCCTGATGATAACACGTGAAACTCGCGGTGAAGATTTTCAACAGATTTT